TACTACACATTGTCCCTTTAACTAAAGCTGAAACCAATCCAGAAATTTGGCTCAAATAACTAAATGGCCACAGAACCCATTCCCTCTTATGCCCAGAATTTCCAAACATCCCAAATATATCAGGGTGAATTTTGGAGAATATTTGATGGAATGGTGCAGGCCTAAAAAACATGGGTGTCCTGGCTTTTACTGCCACAAGATGAAACAGAATAGATAAGATACTGTAAAACTATACAATCAAATAAAAATTAAACACACACACACAGTAACACTGCAGACAACTGCAAGAAGAGAAATCTGTTTCTTAAATCACAGAGGGTGGACTGGGTTGGTTCTGTATGCTGTTGCCATAGCAACGGTTTGTCCTGAGATGACAGGACTCGTTCTGTTCAGTTTTTTGTTTTTTTTATGGGCAAGCCAGTTGTCAATAACACACACTGGTGTTCCCTCCTAGTTATGTTTTTAAATATAAGTGTTTTTTCTCTTAGTGCTATGGAATGAAGTGACTTAGCAGTTTATTCGACATCTTCGAAGTGAAGTCTAGGTTTCTGTTTCTGTGCAAGAGGGGAGTATGATTGTCTCAACCATCTCTCAATAATCCTGGACGGGTCAAAAATGTGTAAAAACTAGTCCTTGGTATATAATGTAATAGAGTGGTTCAGAGGTACCCCCACAGTCCTGTCAGAGGATCTCAAATACCCACTTCATCAACACTACCAACCATGTTCTAAATGTGTTCATCGATATTAAACTGGATGTTATTTAACACTATTGACTATATAAAAGTGGATATTATTGGAATATTGTTTCATATATTATAAATATTACATTATAGTATTTCATATTGAACTGTCAGTGTTTTGGTGTGTTTGACTTTGCATACGTACTGCTTGTGGAACAAGCTAATTATTTATCCATTACTCTTGGCTATTTTAATCATTTCTCTTTATTTTTAGCTATTTAGTTTCATTTATAGATGATTTTATCAATGTTTTTTACTTTTTCAGTGAACCTTTCGACAATTTGTGACTTTTTACTATTTTGACAATTTATAGATTTATTTTTTAATAATTTATGCATTTTATTGCTATTTTCTTTAATACTTTAAGCTAACTATTTAGACTTCTCTGCTTGCTGTTTCCTGTACTCTCAATTGTTACACCTGCTGTTCAGGTCTTACAGCTGATTCAGTATGTTGATTTATAGGTTTTTGATTAAATTGCATTTTCAGTTTTTTAGAATCAGTTCAGTTATTCCTCAGTTTTTTAAAACACTCCTTAATAACTGCAGAAGTGCCCCCTGGGGTACACGTACTTCTGGTTGGGAATCACTGATGTAATAGCATGACAGAATTGTATTTACCAGCAGTTATTGTGTCTTAGACAGCATTAACAGGGAATACTAAACTCTAATAGGCTGGAAGATGTGCTTTATTTTTAGATAACCACACAGTTCGTATATAGGTTTGTAATTGTTCTAAATGTATCCTCACAGCTAGAAGTTTCTGCTTTCAACATTTCCTGCTGCTGACTGAAGTGGTAATGTGACAAAGATATTACTTATCATTATTAAAATATTCACATTTAAATAATCACATTTATAGAGTATATTGCATCAACATGAAACAAGCTAGCTGCTCTGTGAGGCTGTATAGGCAAACTATAGGCGTTAGGTGTGAAATGATGATTCACATGACAGCAATGGAAAATTCTCTGATACTAACGATTAATAACAGCAGTGTTGGAAGAAGCATCAGATCCTTCATAAGTACCAATACCATAAGTAAGAGTACTGCATTCAAAATTAAAAAAGATTACATTTGTATTTTATTGCAGTAAAATGTCTCCTATTACTGATACATATTCTATTTGATTGTAATTACTGATGCATCAGTGTTAGAGATGCATTTTACTGTTTACTGTTACGGATAAATCTGAGGGGTCGTGAGAGGATTATTGTGAGAGGAGAGAAGAAAATATAAAGTTTTAATGTACAAACGTATTATCATTTTCTGGACTCCTTTCCAATGTACTTTTATTGAAATGTTGCATAATTGGACCTCTTGAACAGTTCTTTAAATGGAAATGGAGTGTGGGAAATCTAAATATGCACCTCTGCGAATCAGTATCTGAGCCACTCATTAAATCTTTAACAATGCAGTTTATAAGCTTATCGTGTCTGTCTTTATGTAAAATCTTAGTATCAAAAAGTAGCTACAGCTGTAAGACAAATGCAGTGTAGTAAAAAGTTCAAGATTTGCCTCTGGTATGTAGTGGAGCAGAAGAATGCAGTGAACCAGAATGGAAATACTTAAGTACATCTGGACAAACTTGTACTTTAGTAAATGTACTTAGTTACTTTCCAGCACTGTACAGTCCACCAAGAGCAGCAGTGTACTCTACACACTGTCAGGAAGTTTCATTCAAGATGAACAGTAACACAAAATCTTAACACAGTGCTGCCGGTGCTGCATAGCAGGCACAGGAAGCACAAGTCAGGCACTAGAATTATTCATGTGAGGGTTTAATTTAAAGCTGAAATGATTAATCACTTGGCAGAATATTCATCTGCAGCTGTTTTTATGATCGATGCATCATTAAAGTTATTTGTCTTTCAAGAAAAAGCTATTTGAGTATTTGGTGGTTAGACCTCTATAACGTTGAATACTTTGCTTTGGGGAAACGTATTTTCATTATTTTCTGACATTTTATGAACCACATCAATTCATCATTTCATTGATAAAATAATCAATACTATTTTTTTATTAATGTGCATATAATCAGCAACTTTCTGATTTAACATGTTGTACTTCACACAGCAGCTGTACATGTCCACCTCTCCTCACTGTCCAAAAATAATTACAAAATTAGATGAATTAGCAAGCAATGGGTAAGAATTAACTGTATTCGGACAGAAACCTGACACTGGTGGTCCGGATGGAGCACAGGTCGCTGCTGTAAACACTGTAGTGAAACAGAAAACACAGCACCGCAATGCAGATCTATAAATTTCACCACCGAGCTCCAGCTTTGCTCTAAATGTTCACTATAAGTGCTGAAGATTAAAACAGGAAGGCCTTTTCAACACCTTGAGGTTCAGACATCAGAAGGAATTTCTCTCGTTTATCCTTTGACTTCTCTCTCTGATTCACACCTCAAGTATCTGGATAAAGACATCTATCAAATCAGCAGGTCTACATCGTGCCAAATTGTTCGAATAGTCCCACTTCCTGCCACCACGTCATTATCTCTGACCACATGTAAATGAAGAACAGTCAACCCAAATCATGGATTTTAAATCTTTTAATATTCAAAAAATACTTCAATTTTGGCTTCTTGGTACATAAACCACCTGGATCTGCTCCTTTGTTAATACAGTGTATTCTTTACTGTTAGGAAATGAAAAGTGCAAAGTAGTGGACACCTCAGTCCACCGTGTGGAGGAAAGGCTACTTCGATGCTCCAGAAAACAGTCTGCGTGACATCCATAATCACAGACTCATACTACAGTTGTCTAAAATAAAAGGAGCATGGGGCACAAGTGACCCGAGCCACGTGCAAAATTCAAACTTCAGTGACCTACTGAGAGTTTCTTCAGTCAAACTGTGTTCAAAATCCACCATAAAGCAGCAAATAAACGGGCCAGCCCGTTCCTACTCCTCCACGCTGGAGACCTAAAGAGTCATTTCAAGTTTCTTTATTTGTCTTTTTGGTTAACCTCATATCATATCCTGCAGCCGCTGAGGCAGCCTCCTGTGTGCAAAAGCATCATCCAGCGGGGCTTCACAGCGTAGAACAGCTGTAATCCAGACAGAGAATACCTTAAAAAATCACTGGAAAGTAAACCTGTTTGGGGAAACACTGGCAGAGTCCTTCCAGGAAGTCCACGGAGTCAGCAGCTGTTACCGCTTCTTCTTCTGCTTCAGGGATTTCCTCCTCTTCAGTATCATTTCATACAGTTTGTCCATGCCCTCGTGGAGCCCCTCTCCTATTATAGCGCAGGCAGGCTGAATGTGGTAGGTAGTGGAGGGGGTGAGCTCATGCAGAGCCAGCTGCTTCTCAATGTCCGCCACTGGGAGAGACTTGGGCAGGTCCTGCTTGTTGGCGATGACCAGCAGCGGCGTGCCCTGGTTCTCTGCGAACTTGGTGACTTTGTGAAGCTCAGTCTTGGCCTCCTCCAGCCGGTCAACGTCCACAGAGTCCACCACGTAAATGATCCCATCAGTGCACCGGCTGTACGACTTCCACAGGGGCCTAAGCTTCTCCTGGCCCCCAACGTCCCAGAAATGACAGCTGATGCCCTTCGCCGTGCCGTTGCTCAGCTTGATCTTCTCGGTGTTGAAGCCGATCGTAGGAACCGTGTTGACAAATTCATTAAATTTGAGTCTGTAAAGAACTGTGGTCTTTCCAGCAGAGTCCAGCCCCAGCATGACGATGTGGAGAGACTGGAAGGCAGAGATGTTGGAGAAGCTGTTGCCCATTTTGGCGTTTTTTTCTGCTGGGGGGATTTTATATCCACCCCGGTGCTGTAAATAGAAAAAAACAAGAGCTGTGGTGCTCAGATCCCGCTCATTAAATCCTGTGTTGAGGGTGTAGGATTCCTCAGGTCGAGACTGAGGTGGTGCGCAGGCCCATGCGCTCTGGATGAGTGCTCTGCTCTGCTGTGGCCCTCAGCAGCAGCGGGGGACACGGTGCACCTCGGAAGGACGCAGCGCGCCGGTCATTAGTATTCTCCACACGCACTCACATCCATTCGGCAACTAAGAAGCTCCACAAAAACACTCCTTCAGGGCAGCGTGGACGGTGTCAGCGCTGGGAAGGACGACGATGATCACAGACCTTCACCAGCCTGAAAACCCTGCTGTAGTGATTCAACTCTCTCCGGAATCAGAGGACACAAACACTCCCTGAAACTGCTCACAGTCTCTCAGATTCTGACTGCGGCTGTGAATGAACAGATAACGTCCAATGAAAGCCACCGATTCGTTCGCCGGTTCTTGTCGGGCGCTCCTCTACCGACGCTCGCTGCAGCTGGACTGTTGTGAGGCTGACAACAACAAGACCGCAAAACAAGAGGCGGCCCCGCTTCGCTCCACCCCGCCGGGACATGTGCCAATGAGGCAGCGAGCGTCCTCACGAGCTGTTGTGGCGATCCGGTTCCCACAGAGACAAACACAAACTTCTTAACGTGCAACGACGCTTCATAACAACATACTGTAGAGATCTTTGTGTTGGGAATAAAATAAAGTCTGAATGCTCATTAATATAAAGTAATAAATGAAACAAAGCTGGTCTCTGTACAATTTTGTGACAGAAAGAAAAACAATCCAGAACAAAGGGGTAATCAAATACAAACCAGTCACGTTGTGTGTATATTGTGTTATTATGTGAGAAATAAGGGTGTATAATCCAATGTGTTCTCCTAGAATCCATCATAGTCAACACCGCCATCGTCTGGTGTAAATGTGCAAGAACATGAGGAGCGGAGGATGAACAGACTCTAAAGAGAAAACCTTTGTGATAGTGAATTGAAAGATTGAAGCTGACATTTATAATTATGGTAAATGGTAAATGGA